ACTTAATTCAGCATTATTTGAAAGACTATATTTGCTTGAATGGATTTATCTCAACATAATAAAAAGCTGGAGGTTCTACTTCAAGTGCTTAGCCACTTGTCCATATGAAAAAAAAAAAAAACAAAAAAAAAAAAAAAAAAAAACTGGTTTTTAAAATAAATCAAAAATTTTTCCCCTCAAAAAGACTAGGCAGAACTGAAAATAATATACTGAATACAAACATCAACCAATGATATGAAACGATCTGAGATAAACAGACAATTTTTATTTCTTAAAAGATGATATTTGTTTTACAAATAGTCTTAAGATTTTTTTGATTTTTTTTTTTTATTAAGTTCTTGTATTCATAATACAATTAATGTTCTAGAAATAAATGGCTCATTTTTGTTTGGATGAACTTACAAAACAACACTTTGAATTCAAAGTAGATTTTATGCAAGATTCTTTTATATTAATGCAGGTGACCCCAGGGTTCTATCCTTGGACTTGCATTGTTCTTAATTTTCATTGATGAACTTCCTGATGTCACCAGTTCTCAGCTTGGTAGCCATGGTGATGACAACTATTTACTGTCTTAATAGTAAGTCTGTTTTGATAAGGTCAAACTGGTGGCTAATCTCAAAAATTACCTACAATCCATTGCTAAATGCAGGCAAAGAGTGGCTTATTAATTTCAAGATCTCTGAAATGAAACCACTCTCTTTTACTTGGATCAGAAAACTGTGGCAGACATAATGAACCAGAACCAGAGTTGGATGGCAGAAATGGTGAACAGGACTTGCCTTATTCTCTACAAAAAAGAGTTTGTCTTTGTCTGACATGTAGGATTTCAATTTGAGAGAAGGCAAATATGTCATCCTGTCAAAAGAGACCCTTCTTTGTTGTCCCAAAAGAAATTGGTTCATTAGCAACAGTGTATAATATTAGTGTGGTTGGATGGAATCAAGGAGGGACATTGGGGTGTGTTAGTGCTCCATTCTGAGGTGCCTGTATGTCTAGCATCCTGGTGAATGATTGGTGATTCCCCATTATAAGTAGACCATCATGGAGTTGAGAGATGTCTGTTGATGTACATTGTACTGTATGTATGGCTGTGACAGGAGGAACGAATGAAGTAGATACAGAGAAGGGAACAACAAAAAATACCAAGAAACCTGCATAGAGGGAAGAAACACCCAATCTGAAATTGTGTCCCAAAAAAAGAGTTGCTAATTTCTTTTGACCATAAAACCCTTTTTACCTTCCATCAGCATAGCTGATTCTATCCTACAAGAGAGTGACCAATTGTGCCTTCTCAGACTAATGTTTTCGATTGATACAAGGTGGAAAGAATATATTGAATCATTTGCTAGAAAAGTTGGTTCACTGTATCAAGCGAAACTTTTTTTTCTCTCCTGTCTATATTTTTGAGAGAAGCTACTTACACTATTTAAATTATCTGGACTCTTGTCCTCATCTTTATTGCCATATTCACAACGTTTCAGGTGTTGTATGCTATGGCCTTCTTCAGGTGATATTTATCGGAATTTCAAATCAAACCCTTTTAGTCCACGGGGTAGATTGTTCTAATTCCACATGCCATGCCTTTGGATATATAAGTTTTAATTAATCCCACTTAATAAGCCTACTCTCCAAAGTTTTGTTCTCTCTGCTGTGGCCAGGGATTGAACTCACAACTCTTTGGGTCAAGTGACTTTTGGATCAATCAACCAATGTCTTTATCCACATAGACCAGTGGATTGTTATCTCGGGTCTTATCAATTCACGCTTGAATTGGCTAAATGTAACCATAAGTTCTATGCTAACAGTTTCTTTTCTTGCACTTCTCACCTGTAGAACTCTTTCGGTTCTGTGCTTTCTGTTCAACCTTTGATCTTCATAAATTTAAAATGTAATGTCAATTGTTATCTCCTGTAATGACTACTCTTCTATTATTCCCGCTCCTTAATATTTTTTCTCCTATTCTTTTTATTCTTTCACTCAGTAACTCTGTGTCTTAGTGGTTTTACTGCCTTGCTTGGGGTGATATGATGAGAAAAAAAAGTATTTAATTGTTTTTAATGAGGGACAAAATTAAAAATGGAGTTAATCTTCGTCATTTTAAGTATTTTAAGAGAAAACCATTTTGAGCATTCTGTTTACAAAGAAGCATATTTCTAAATTTACAACTTGTTTTTACTTTTTAAGAAAGTATTCTGCACAACATTCAACTGAAGAATGTGTAATGGCAAAAGAAAAAAAAATATTAGTAAGAAGCTCTGAAAGATTTTGTATTCAGAACAAGAGAAAAAGAAAAAAGATGTAAAAATAAAGCTCCAGCATTGAAAGCCTTATTGGTGTAGTGAGAAGATCAATAATACAATTTTAATCCACTTTTTCTGAACTTAGAGAGAAAAAAAAAAAAAAAAAATTAAAATACAAAATAACTTTTATTCGTTTTCTTTTATAGAATTTTTTTTTTTTTTTTTTTGCATCCAGTGAACAATTTTTAAACTGTTTCCTGGGAAATGAAAGGATTTTTTTCTCATGGCACATCTTTATGGTTACCTCATAGTAAAGTTAAATCAGGAGAATTTTTGTGCTAAGCATTATAAAGATAGTATTTGTCTTACTGCAACAAAAATTGTAGAGTAATTGGCCATGGTTAACTATAATTGGAAAAAATTCTTAACAAATGGTATTGGTAATGGGAACAACTGCAAAAACATTCTCCTCCACAAGTTTATAGACAAATCATACAGATGCATGCTGGGATTTCTTCCTAGCCAATAAGATCGGCCATTTCTCTGTCTCATCCACCATATTTCTGTACTTTATGATCACTTGTCTGTATCCCTTTTGTGTGTTAACACTATTCTTAACTTGTAAACTTTTTGCTGCTTTACCTACTTTTATCTTGCTTATATTGTTTGTCCAATATATGTTTTGCCCTGTTCTTTTCTTTCTCTTGTTATTGTTTATTGCAAATTTTGTCAATTCTGCTTGCTGGGTATTTCTGCCAATCACCCTACAAACAGAATTGACAAAGTTTTCGATAAATTATAACCAAACAAAAGAAAAAGAACAAGGCAAAATAATATAAGCAAACAATATATATGCAAGATAACTAGGCAAAGTAACAGTTATAAGGCAAAAAGTTCACAAAAATGAGAACAGTGTTAACATGCAAAAGGAATACAGTCAAGTGATTGTGGCATTCTGGCTCCAAGACAAAATAAAAAGAAAAATATGATGGGTGGGATTGAGAAGTGGTCAATTTAATGGGTTAGAAAGAAATTCCAGTCTGTATCTGTAAAATTTGTCTATAAATTTATGGAGGGGGAATGTTTTTAGCAATCATTCCACTATATTGGAACTAACAAGAATTATATGAAATACTTTTATTTAAAGAGTAATTGCAAGAAATAAATATTGCAAAATGACCAAATGAAACCTTAAACCTTTTCTATTGTAATTATTTTCAAATGTTTTACTTAATTCTAGTGACTATTTTATAAATATGGAATTTGATAAACCATTCTAATATTTTTTTTTTACTAGACTGCTGTAAAATTGTAAATATAAAACCACATTTATTTATTTATTTATATACTTATATATTTAGGTTTATACCATATATGCATATACATTCAACTCACTCTAATACCTTTCAAAAAGGTACACGACTCCATCTTTCTCCTGCTATGGGTTAAATAGCTGGGCAGAGTGAACTTCTTGCTTTGTGTGACATCCAGTTTAGGAGAAGGAAAACTGAATTTAAACCATGTCTTTCTGGGAAGGATCACATTACTGTCTTTGTCAGCTCTTCCAAAGAGTATGGCTGGTTTTACACAAACCTTCACCTAAATAAATCAAATCGACAATCTAATGATTCAGTTTAGAAATGAAGTGTTGCACTTCATATGATGAAATTGATAGACAAGACTATCATACATTCTCTCTCTCACATAAACATTCTTATTCTAGTTTGTAGAGGCATAATCCTACTAGCTAAATAGATAACTATCTTTTGTGTGTATGTGTGTTTTTAAGGGGATAATTTATTGGCTATCGTATTATCATAGAATGTCATCAATAATCAACCATCAGCTAGATAGAAATAAATTTATGTCCAAGATAAGAAATCTTGATATAGTTATTCCAATTTTAGATCTTAATTCTAATGCTCAGTTTTTGTTCATTCTTTTACACTAATCCTATTTATCAATCAAGAAATATTTAAGTAATTCATATTTATTAAATTCATTTCCATTCCTTAATTCAGAATCTAGATATGAAGGTTAATTGAATTTGTAAAGTTATGAACTGTGAAATACTTGTTGAAGCTTGTTACACACACACAATTTGAGACAAACAGAAAAACAGTTTGTTGCTTGTAAGTTTAACATTAAGACATGATTCGAGTAAAAAAAAAAAAAAAAAAAGCAAACTTCAACATTTTAAATGAAAAGATTAATATGAATAAGAATAATAAAAAAAAAAAAAAAAAAAAAAAGCAGCAAAACTGATTTTGTAGCACAAAAGATAAAAATGACATAGAACAATAAGAGATTTAAAGAAATTTCCAAGTTGTTTGGGTGGATGCCTACCTGCAGAGATGCAATATTGGGAGTGGGAGAAATAGACTTACTAAAACAACATTGAATTTATCATCAAGTTTATTGTAGCAAGTCTAAGTGTGGTATGCCAAATGGAGAATGAGAAAAATGAGTTAATGTGTTTATATTTGCCTATTTACATATATATCAAATAAGTACATGGAAATATATACAAGACAATTTATGAAACTTATTTGGGTCGTGTCTGCACCAAATATTAACTTCTCTTTTGAATTGATTATTGTAGAGCAAATAAATCAGTCAATGTGCCATGTCTTTCCAGGGACGTGGGCGATAAATCATGCTGCAGTACAAGATCACAAATAAGAAAGAAACAAAGAACACATTGAAAGTAGGCCACAAGAGATGAACAAAGTCAGAAAAGGATCATAAAACCATTTATTACAGAAGAAAGTAAAAAGATACTGTGAGAGAGAGTGAGTTAAAAAAAAAAAAAAATATGGAGGTGGGTGTAAACGGAGAAAGGATGTGGACAGAAATGGGGACTGGGAGGAGGAAAAAAAAAACAGAAACAAAAAAACAGGAAAAAAAAAAAAAAAAAAAAAAAGAAACAGGGTGCTGGGAGGAGGAAAAAAAAGAAAACGGGTGCTGGGAGGAGGAAAAAAACAGAAACGGGGTGCTGGGAGGAAAAAAAAAAACAGGAAAAAAAAAAGGGGGTGCTGGGAGGAGTGAAAAAAAAAAACGGGGTGCAGAGGAACAGGGGTGCTGGGAGGAGGAAAAAAAAAAAAAAAACAGAAACGGGGTGCTGGGAGGAGTGAAAAAAAACAGAAACGGGGTGCTGGGAGGAGTGAAAAAAAACAGAAACGGGGTGCTGGGAGGAGTGAAAAAAAAAACGGGGTGCTGGGAGGAGGAAAAAAACAGAAATGGGTGCTGGGAGGAAACGGGGTGCTGGGAGGAGTGAAAAAAAAAAAACGGGTGCTGGGAAAAAAAAAGAAACGGGGTGCTGGGAGGAGGAAAAAAAAAAAAACAAGGAGGAAAAACAGAAACGGGTGCTGGGAGGAGGAAAAAAAAAGAAACGGGAAAGGAGGGCTGGGAGGAGTGAAAAAAAACAGAAAGGAGGGCTGGGAGGAGTGAAAAAAAACAAAACAAAAAAAAAAGGAGGGTGCTGGGAGGAGGAAAAAAGAAACGGGGTGGGAGGAGGAAAAAAAAACGGGGTGCTGGGAGGAAAAAAAACAGAAAGGAGGGGAGGAAAAAAGGGGTGGGGAGAAACGGGGTGAAAAAAAACAGAAAGGAGGGCTGGGAGGAAAACAGAAAAGGAGGGCTGGGAGAAAAAAAAAGAAAAGGAGGGCTGGGAGGAGGGAAAAAAAACAGAAAGGAAGGCTGGGAGGAGTGAAAAAACAGAAAGGAGGGGCGAGTGAAAAAACAAAGGCGTGAAAACAAAATTAAGAGAAGGACTGGGTGATAAATGAGATTCATACAGAAAGTAGCATCATCAGGTAAAATGAAACCAACACAGCCAATGTCTAAAGTTTGTATTTTGCCAAATAAGTTTTAGTTTTATATTCACAAATACAAATTAAACAGGTTGATTTTTTAAATAGAATTTGCTTAAGCTTTAAAAGCATCTAAAGTATACATCAGTATTTTTTCTGAATCTTAAAAATTAGAAGTTTGTGTTAACATAAAAATATAAAATATTATCCTTTCATGAGATCAGATATAGTTAGAAAAAATTAACAACTTGTCCTCTGCCCATGTCTTAAAGCACTAGAGCAGGGGTTCCCAACCTTTTTTGCATCGTTCACATGGTAAAATTTTCCATCGCTCACCTTTATAGTAAATATTCAAAAGCATACAAAAATTGTTTGGTAAAAGTTTGTTACTGGTTCGTAAACAGACTTTACGATTTAAAAAATACCAAAAGGGAGCTAACAAATAATGCTGAATTATGCAGCAGGGGCTGCTGCTGCTACTAATACTATATCAAAAGAACAAACAAAAGAAAACTTGTTAGTTTTATGGTTAGGGTTAGTATTGTAAGTGTTGACAGAAAAAAAAAGAAAAGATTTTTGTTCATAATTATAAAATTAAAAATATATATACATGAATAGCAACTAATAAAATAAAAATTCAGCAAATATGCTTTTGCTGTTCTTGGTCTTCCCTCAACTGATTTATATCTTAAAAAAAAAAAAAAAAAAAAAAAAAAGATAAAGTTATTTCATGTGGAACTATTTTCAATGTTAATGACCCTTCTCAAAACTATAAAAAATACCAAAATATTTGTTATTTGTGGGGGGATATTTATATCTTATGTAAGAATGTGACCCATTTAGCTTCTTGTTTTTTTTCTTTTTAGAGTGGTTTTTGTATGCCTCCTTTAAATTTTTTTTTTTTTTTTTTTAGGTAACATTTGTTGAAATACCTTTTTAATACTTAAAATCATATATTGGCCACAAAAACTTCTGTGCACCATTTTCTGTATGGTTGCTTATTGGTTGATGTCTCCCAGGTTGAGAAAACCTACACTAGAGGTTCATGGAAAATATACAAGAATAATAAAGAGGAACAATGAGGATATTAGAAAAAGAGTTGTTATCTTGATTGTTAATTTGTATTTTCTGAAAACTGAAATTGCTACAGTCTATAGTTAAGAAGTCAAATTTGTAAACTTTTTAAATTGAAAAGTGGGCTATGGTCAAACAAGACTAAATTTGAACTGTTTCAATACAATGAACAGAATTATTTTCTGAAAAACCTGGATAAGCCTTTACACCAGGAAACACCATTTCCATGGTAAAATATTAGTGGCATCAAGTTTCTGGGTTTTGTTGCTTCAGGGTGGATATTGGCTCTTCAGCAGGTGACTATATTAAGATCTTAATGTCTTCAGCAAAATGTTGATTGTTTAAATAAAAAAAAACAATGTCCTAAAATACACCTTAATATTAATGTCAAATTGTTTGGATTCAAAATGTTTTGAATCTCATGGAAAATATGTGGAAGTATTTGAAACAGGGTGAAATCTCTCAAATTTAGCAAAAAAAAAAAAAAAAAAACAACAACCACCCTGCTGCATTTTGTCAAAAGTTGGTTGTTAATAAATCCAAAACTTCTTGGTGGCTGTGAAGTGACATGAAATGAAATATTTGATTCCTTCTCCATGATTTAAGTTTTGTTTGTATTGTAAGACTTGGCCAAATTCTAATTGGATTGCTTTTGTTGTGATAAATCATAACTGTCCAACCTATTTAGTTTGGATCTTTTATGGTATATAAAGCTTAGCCATACTTAGAAAAGAAGCCTAGAGTAAGACTCAAACACTATAGATATATGAAATTGACAAACATACAGAAGAGTGGATGATATATGAACCGTTTCAAGGATAGCAGAACTGAATCTGTTTAAAGAAACCATGTAAGTAGAAAGGCAAGCTTTTCTTTTCCAACAAATACCAACCCAGATATGAAAGTGCATTTCATGATCTGAAAGGAAAGCAATTATAGAGAGCGGGGCCAATCACACACACACACACACAGACATTAAAAAAAATAAAAAAAAAAATATACAATTATAATGAACCAATTAGTGATACAAGACATTTGCTAATTAGTGGATTAAAAAAAAAAATTCTGATAAAAACTACACAGACTGTCAGAAAAAAAAATTGCAACATCCTGAAAGATGCTAATTTTAATTTTGACAATGCATATGTGGGTATAGTAATGGTTATCGGAACTAAAACATGTAATTGGCAAGCAGATTTCAAATCCTGATTTAGCCTGCTGCATTCACTTTCACACTAATGGCCTTGAGTAGAAGTATATTGTATATTGCATGGGTTAAATCAACCATTGGACTATCCGTCAAATATAGTAGGGTAATGGACTATCTATCCGTCTCTAGAGAACTAGTCTAAGGTTGAATATAGCATATTGGACTATCCGTCAGTCTAGGAGAACTAGTCTAGGGTTAAATATAGTATATTGGACTATCCGTCAGTCTAGGAGAACTAGTCTAGGGTTAAATATAGTATATTGGACTATCCGTCAGTCTAGGAGAACTAGTCTAGGGTTAAATATAGTATATTGGACTAGCTGTCAGTCTAGGAGAAGGACAACTATTTTCATCATAAGTTTTAATTCAATGTAAAACTTATCTTTCTCAAGAAGATCCAGGAATTCAGAGATAAAGAAAGGAAATCTTTTGAAAGCCATGATTGTCTATGTCATAAAAGGTCAAATAAAAGCAATATATGCATGTTAAGAAGTGGTAAATATTTTGATAACATTTTGAAAATCTTTGGTTTTGTAAGAGAAATATTTCTCTTTTACATAACAGTCTTGTACATCTCTAGTTGTGTCTTGGAGGGCCACCTGGCAAATCAAATGGTGCTCCATCATATTAAGTAATGAGAGCATGTACTGCCTTCCTCCAAGTAAGGATTGTTAGCATGTGTGATAGACCCGGGGAGCAATATCTTCCAGTGTATATTTGCCCACAGCATGAAAAGTGGAATCAGCATGTAGTGTTCAAATTCTGGTAGAGTTTGTTGCATTCACTTTTGCACAAATACCCTTAGGGTGAGAGATGATTCCATTTCTTCTCACCCCCAACTATGGGTTAAATATATGGGCAAACTGGCGTCTCTATCCTTGTTTCTCAACTAGTCTAGAAGAAAGAATTCATAACCAGTTGGTGGAACTGTAGAAAAGAAAATGACTTACCTCCTGGAACAAAACATGCTTGTACGTGTCTTTCATGCAAAATATGTAGAAGGAAATATGGACAATTCAAAAGCTGCTATTTAAGATAAAAAAAAACAAAAAAAAACCTGGCAATCTGAGCTTGTGAGACATTGGTGGTTTATGCTAATTTATGAGCCTCAGTCACTCATTAAAATGAGTACAAGCGAAGGAACATCAGAGGTTGCAGACTGGAACGTGTCAAGTGGTTGTGCTTTGTGTGTGAAGTTTCACATTAGTCTCACTAATTGTGATCGAAAAGACATAGTATAACTGGTACTCCAAACAGCCATACATTTTCTTTTCTACTACAGTAACTTCACCCTATAAAAACATATTTGCTACAGAAACCACAGCAGTAGCAACACATAGCAGGGTGAGACTTTGGCCCTGTATGCCATAGGAGAGTCTACTAATGGGATTAAAGAGGAGGAGATTGAAATGATGGATTCAATTCTTACCGTAAAGCTATCATCCCACAGTGAAAGCAAAAGGTCTTGACCAGAATTTGAATTGCTTGCCAGCACAAATAGCCATTAAACTACTCACCCATTGAGGTCATACAGTTCATCAAGATGCAGTCAGAGTACTGATAATATACCCTATATTTTGGAACCTATACAAGTATTGATCTGTGTGTGTGTGTGTGTGTGTGTGATCATTTATTGTAATCCAGTTATAGTTCCTGGATGTTTAATCGTTAACAAACTGAAACATTTAAGGTGTGTTAATTTCAACCTTTAGGAATGACTGCAAAACATTTGCCCTCTCCCTAATTTATAGGCAGAAACATAAATGCATGCTGGGATTTTTCCAAGCAAATAAAATAAGCCACTTCTCAATTTCATCTGACTCAGTCCCAATCTTGTCCGACAACAGAAAACAAAGAGTTCTCAATTCATTGACAATAGAAACAAGGAGATTTTGATCCATTGACAATAGTTTTCTTAAACACTCACTTGTAACTTCCATTAGGTCAAAGAATGCCCATTATCACTTCGGAAATTCTCGTTGCAGACAAGACTCTGTAACACAAGTACTGGAAGTAGTAATGCCTTCAAATAATAGTCACACTAATAATACTTGTTCAAAAAATTAAATCGCTGAATAGTAATTCATATAAAAATCACTATAGAGAAATAGTATAGTGGATAGTATAGAGAATAGCAATCACTTAGACGCCACACTAATTCCCATTTATATGTTTCCTTTACGATCATGTGATCTACTTATTTGATAATGGAATCATCTGTGTTTACTCACTGGTAATTTGTGTTCAAACTACAGTGTCGACAACAACACTTTATTCCTAGACAACAAATAGTAACTAAAAGAAAAAAATAAACAATTTTAATTGTTGCTCTTGGTATGACAATTATACAAATAGATTTATAACTTGGAATTTTATATTTGAATTCAAATTTTCTCATGAAAATTTACATTTTGTTTGAATTTCTGAAATGAGGAATTACTTATATTCAGATTAATAGCCACATCTTATCAAAGTGTTTCTGTTGTTGTACCCTTTGCCTTTCTTTACATGTTTATCAGTTTAAAGTTACCTAAATTGACTGATATTTGAAAACCAGAAGGATACAACAGCTGAAACATTGTGGTAAGATAAGGATTTTAGTCTGAATGTAAATAATGAAAACTTACTTGTAATGCAGTAAAGTTCACTTACCAAGAGAAATAAATCTAAAATAGAATGAATAAAAGACAGCAAGATAA